TTTTAATTTAAAGCCTTACACGTGACATGCATTAACAGTGTGAGAGGTTCGTATGGGCTCTCTGATTGCCTGCTTGGTCCATTTTAACAGCTTATAGACCATTTCTAGGGAAGCAGAGTAAAGGGGGAGCATGTAGATGAAGTGTATAATTAACATGAACAGAGGTAGGGGTTATGTACTCCAGAGAGAGAGCGTGGTACTGTGTTGGTACTTGTTAGGGACCCCTCAGGCACACAGCATTGTCTGTGGCCGTGAAAACAAGTGGCCCTGTGAAATACACATCCGTGCGGATGCCCCTAATATCCCATCTGGGAGTCTGTGCTTAACGGCACGAGCGTACCATGCAAGCTCAGTGTGCTCTTCAAAAATGTCAGCACCTCTCTGTTCTCGAAAACATCACGTGGTCCCTGGCTCTCTGGAGGGTAGGAGCCTCCAGCTATGTGGGGAAGGCTTCCTGTCCTCAGCATCTTTTCAGAGCCTCTTAATTTTTCCTCCTTTTCTTCATTTTCTCCTTATTTTAATGGGATGGTGAGCCAGAGGTTCCTGTTTTAAGGAGCAGAACATTGTATTTCATTAGCTCCATTACACACTTGGTTTAATTTCCAATTAGCCTGGGATGCTAGCAAAATAATCTGATTGCTTTGGCTGTTTAGCGTTCTAGATCTGCCTAGCTTCCCTCCTGTCCCCCCACCCCCTGCGAAGTTTTTCCGTGTGGGCTGATAGGCAGACACTCGGGTTTTCACCCACTGCCTTTTCTCCCCGTTGATGTATTTATACCATTTGCTCTGAGCTAAAGGTTTGAGCTGCCAGAAGGAATAACTAGCAAATCAGTGTTCCTACCTCTGCAGCTCTTGGGGAGGTCGGATCTGTTCTCTCTGGCTGCAGAGGGGGTTGCCTGTAGGTGGGTTTAAAAATGTTGGTTTCTTGTTAAATCTGTAATGTGGTTTTAAGTGCAGGGTTGTTTTGTTGGTTTTTGGTGTGGTTTTGTTTGGTTTGGTGGGTTTTTTTAATAAGACCCTGTAACATTTCATTATCCTCATCCCAGTGACACTTCTCAGAGTCTAAATTTGTTGGGAAATTCCAGCCAAAAAGCAGGTTTATTGTCATTCGGCTCAACTGTGCTCTAAGGGGATGTTGCTATGTCTGCGTTTGAATAATGTTGAAGTGTACCCAGGGTGAACAGACAAACCAGCAAGCCTGGGACCTATTATTATTAAACACTCAATCTGCTCTGCATTTGTGCTTTCTTGGTGTTGTTTTTTTTAGGCTGATTCTCATTGGTTGGTAACTGTTAGGTTAAAGACTGTATTCTGAATTGTGAGTCAAGTGAGGCACTTTGTGACGTTGTTAACTTCTAAGTTTAAGCTTCTTGAAGCTTTCCTCTTCGTTAGTTGGTTTGGCTCACATATCTGTGGCTAGTGGGTTGACTTTGGTGCTGCTTTTTTTCTCATTATTTTTGAGAATAAAAGACTATAGTAGATGTTATTTTTTTGTCCTTTTAGCCTCCTTCTTCCAGCCTATGAAATAAATTATCCAACTTCTGGTTTGTTTCTCATCAAAATGAACTTGCAAAAGCAGAGAATATTCTGTTTTCTGAAGAAGCTTATGTTTGGTTTGGGTTTTTTCTCAGCTGAGGTATGGCGTTGGCTGTGAACCTCCTCCAGTTCCATGGAGGACTTTGTCCTGCACCACTTGTTAAGCTTTACTTCTGGTATGTCCCCCAGCAGTACATGATCACTGCTATTTATTTTCAAGGCTAAAAAAACCCACCCACTTGTATAGGCTGTTTTATCACTTTGTAGCTTGTACTTGCTGTTCAGTGCAGTTGGACAGCAACTCATGTTGCTCTCTTGAGGAAGAATTGTCAACTGAGTTGAAGACTTAAGGCTCAGCTTAGATGTTGTAGATTTTCTTTGGCCAAAACAGCTTTCTAAGTATTTCCAGTGACACTGATGTGACTGCCAGAGTATATACTAGGTTACCATGTGATGCAATACATGAATTGGTGTGGACTGGTTCTTAATGGACTTTTTTTTTTTCCCCATACCTGAATGATACCTGTTAGTATCCCAAACTCTGGACAGCACTTCAGTCTTTGTTTACATGTTGCTGGAGCCATCACTTGGTGAGAGCTGTCAGCAGAGTAGGAGCCGTTGTGTGCTGGAATGAAACCATGCAGTGCCGGCTTGTGTTGCTCTTCTGTTCCTGTCTTGTAATGAATCCTATGGCAGTGCCAATGAAGAGAGGTGAGCGTGCATACTTGAACCAGTGTTTATGTTGGACTGGTTCCTGAAATCTGTTTTCATTTCGACTGTGCTGCGGCTGTGTAAAAAGCCTTGAAGATGCTAATTATTTTTGTTGGCATACCATAACATATCAATATGTTCAGTGTGAATCGCCAGCGAGTTGGTTGGTTTTTTTGGGGGTGTTTTTTAGTTTTTTAATAAATATTGCTTAAAGTTTGAAGATATTCCCTATCCCTTCCCTTTATCCCCTTTTGCTTCATTTACCTTGTCACCAAGTTAACGGCAGCACTGGTCTGCTGAGGACCAGCTGTAATTGTGACTATGAGATTGTAGATCCCAGCCCTTCTGGCAGAACTGAGCTGCCACCAAATGTTCCACAGCCCCTTCCAGTCCTTTTTTTGTAAGCCCTGAGGAGACCACAGCCCATGCTCCTTTGTGCATCTTGCCATCTGAGACTCATGGATGCTTTAATTGGCAAGCTCTATCGGGTTGCCATATAGTGTCCCACTCTTAGCTTTGACTTGGACACCTGCATTTATGCTGACCTGCCATTGCCTGAAAAGAGCCCAAAAAGATCCTAAAAGCCAGACCTTGTTCGCAGTCAGGTCTCTGGGCTGGAGCTGCCATGTACCAGGCAGCCCACCGTAACAGCGTTTCTGTGCAACCTTTGCCTGCAGCAAATGCGAACTGATAAACTGCCCTTACCCTGCAAGAAGGGAAACTTAAGTACAGCTGCTTTGGCTTGTACTTGCCCCAGGGTTTAGGACATCCACGCAGTCCCGTTCCTGCAAGGAAGGGACTGCCTGGCAGTGTGAGTGCATTTCCCAAAGCTCAGTTTGTTCCTTGGTACAGCTGACAGGCACCTTTCTGTAGTGCTTTGGCTCTGTCACTTTTTAGATTACTACAATTTTTTTTTCCCAGTGTCCTAATTTCATTTTCAAAATGCTTTTCCACGGTAATTTTGAACTTTTCAGTTGGTCTTGTGACTTGTCTTCACTTGAAAACTTCTAAAATATTAAATTAAACCAGTCTTTTACTTCAGTTTTATGCTGTGTCACATTAACCATTCAAAAATTAGGCAGATTAAATAGTGGGAAGAATAAGCAGCATATCTTAAGTTACTCATTAAAATGGTGCAAGAAGACAGCAGTTCTGATTGCTAATGATTTTGGTGACAGAAGGCTCATTCAACTAATGAAATTCATGAAATCTTGGAGCACAATCCTATCTCTGACCTCTAGGTGTGAAATGCAAAACAACCAACGTTACTGTGCTTGTGCGATGACTTTGGAATATATTGGTTTAATGACAAGCAGTGGTGGGAACGATGCAGAGAATTTTCTGGTCGTGCTGTTCTTGTTTTCAGTGTACTGCATCAGAAGCATCTTTAGTCATCCAAAGAATCAGACTATTTTAGATGTTTCTTCACCTTAATCTTGCAGAAAACAATGTTATAAATCTTCATTTTTAGCAGGTGTGCACTGGGGGTTGGGCTGGACATGATATACATTGTAAAATATCCTGAAAATGCCTTTTCATAGGGTGTATCAGATTTGTGTGTCAAAGTCGGGCTTTTCGGATTAGTTAAACAAATAAAAGACTTGTCTGCGAATTTTCTATTTTTGTCTGTATATTCTGCAACTTTTCTAATTTAAAAAATCTTCACATGGCATCTGTTAGAGTAACTGTTGAATTTAAGTATAGAACTAAGAATTAGAAATTTCTGTTGCACTCCCACTTGTCGCTCTTGTCAAGCTGGACCCAGGACCTCCTCTCTGTGCTTCCTTTCATCCACGCTTAGGAAAGAGAACACCTTATATAGTCTTAAATGTAGCAAGAATATTTTCAGCAATGGGTTTTGCTGGAGCGCTTGCTCTAAGGGGACTCCGTAAAGCGTGGATGCTATGGAGACTGTTTGGAATTTAAATGTGTTATTAAAGATTTAGCAGCAGTTGTCCATTTTAGGGAACTTGTCTGCTCTGAAAGGGGGTGTCCCGGCAGTGTTGCTGCAGAGCTGAAGGCAGCCTGGCACCTGACATCTCCACCTGACCAAGGAGAGGGTTCTTCTCATTTCTTAGATCACGATAAGCCACGTGCTACGGGACTGCCAAGGGGAAATCGGGCGAGAGGCACCCATTCCTGAATGAGTAGGGTAATTAAAGGTTTTGAGACCTTGGTTGTATCAGTTGAGTATTTCCTGGGAGTGATGGGAGATGATGCTTGCTTGAAGTGAGCCGGAGTGGAAGTCTGGAGTCTGCAGGAAGGTGAGATGTTTTTGTTCCATGTCGGCACTCTCCGACACAGTCTCTAGCTCCATCCAGAGTAAGGTGTCTTGTGACGACCTGGTCCCAGGTCCCCATTCTGTCCAGAGGCTCTTGTTTATCTTCAACAAAAATGCTTTCAACTTGTCATTTCTCCAGCAAAACACTCTTTGTGCCCATGCTGGCTCTTTGTGTTCCTGTGTGTTGGCAGCCCTCCTGCTGTTCTTTCACATCCTCCCCAAAAGGCTCCTGGAATTGAGCAAAGAACAAGGTTAAAGTCAAGCTTTGGACTCTTCAGGTTGGTTGTGAAGCTGTACTGGGTCCCTGCAGGCTTGGATGGCTGGTGTGGCAGCTGCTGCTGAGCAGCTGATAGCACACACCAGGATCTCTGTGATTGTTTCCCCTGTGTAGCCCATGCTAGGGCCAAGTTAATCCCTGGCAAGCCACTGATGGCATGCTAGCAAAGAACACATCTCCTTCTCTCTTCTCCCAGGTGGTAGCGAATGCTGTGGCTGCCTTGTCGGAAATCAGTGAATCGCATCCCAACAGCAACCTGCTGGATTTGAACCCTCAGAACATTAACAAGCTGCTGACGGCTTTAAATGAGTGCACGGAGTGGGGCCAGATCTTCATCCTGGACTGTCTGTCCAACTACAACCCCAAGGATGATCGTGAAGCTCAGAGGTATGGTTGTTCCTGCTCTTTGCTCAGGCTGCTTCAGGTTATTCGGTAGCAGGGCACTTGCAGGCCTCTGTCAGTGTTGCAGCTCTGTAAAGGTCTTGTACTAACAGGGCTCTGTGTTCAGGTATGCAACAGCACAAGGAAGACTTGATGTAGAAGAGGCTAAAAGGGAGGCAAGTTTGGGTAGTTTGGGCTGATGCTGAAAACCTGCCCCTTTCCTTTGCACAACCACTTTCTCTTTTCAGTTTTTCTTTTTCTTACTTTTTGCCATTTGAAAGGCTAGTTCTTATGGGAACTGGCACTATTAAGAAGGGATCAGCCCAAGACCAAAATTGTAACAATGGTTGACCCCACTGGAAGCACTGTTTGTAGGATTTTCTGTTTTAAAGCAGAGCTTTCAAATCTGGTTTTGCTCTTGGGAGGGGCAAGAAGCTTTTAGAGCTTTGACGGTGTCCAAAATACTGCAGGGCTGAGACTGGAATAATTCTTCCTACTAAAAACTAGTCTATGATATGACAGAATTGAAAATAAAGGTAAGGAATAATTTTTCTTATCAGTCCAAATTCACCCTAGTTCTTTTACCATTAGCTGCAATGACTAAACCTAAATACAAAGACTTTAGGGTTTGGGTAGTGGGGTGTTAACTCCTGCTCTTCAAGCCTCGTCCTCATCTGTGTCCGGAAAAGTCAGATTCTATACACAAGAGAACAAGGAACCAGTAAGGAAAATTACTTGGAACAGAGGAATTCTCAGACTGGATATATTTCATGTAGATAAGAGGGTTGTAGATAAGAGTGGAGGAAGGGGCGCAAGCCCACATGCAAAATTCTGGGCAGGCCTTTTTTAATTTGATGGGTTTCTTCAGTGACTCCTTTTTTTTTGAGGCACAACAGATAATCAGTCTTTTAAAAACATTGCCAGTAGTCTTGCTGACCTTTTTTTTTCCCAGCTCCTTCCCCCTTTTGCTGTGTTTCTGTGCCAGAAACAACTATTAATGAGTGCTGGAAACCTGCAGAGATCTCCAGGGCATCAGGCCAGTATTATCCTAGCTTTTTCAGAAAGGGACCGCTGGTTTGAACAACTGTGAACACGTCCCAGTTCCTTATCTGTGATTCCTCTGAAGGGTGATGTATGATACTGGATGGGCAGTAACTACCTTTACTCCTTTATGTGGAGTTCTGACTTGGAGCCTGCCTTCAGATCAGAGAATGGCAGCACCTAGTTTTATATAGTGTTCTCCTTTACAGCAAGGCTGGGATCGTTAACCCTCCATGTAGAGAAACTGAGGCATGTTGAGACGAAGCAGCTTTGGCATGGCAGGTGACCTTGGGCAGCGGCAGCTGGGGCTGCCCCCGGCTTTGACTTCCAGACTCCACTTAGCCATGCTGCTTCTTTTCCAGAGGAAGAAAGTTTAGGAGGCACAGATGGGAATAAGATTGTTCTGGGTTAGCAATATGCAGGAGGGGGTGGGAAGAAACTTGACAGATGCTGTAAGAAAGACCATATGAACCCAAATTTCCTTTCTGCTTGGGATGGGTTGTTTAGGATGCTGTTGATTATAGGATCACTGAGGCAAGTGGTGAAGCTGAGAGCTGGGGGGCTATTTAGGTCACTCCCTATATCTTCAGAGTAGCAGAAGCCTTTTTTGTTTCAGAAACAAATGGTTGAGATGACAGCAACCCCCCTGAGCAAGCCAGAAGCGTGTATCGCTTCCGAACGATTATATGGGGGCTAAAGTGTGTTTCTGATAGCTGTTTTTTTTCAAATTGTGTTGGTAAGTGACAGACGAGATCACAGAAATAGAGAATGCCACCAGGCAGAGGCAGAAAAAGCTAATGACTGAGCTGAGGCTGTGATGCTGGGAGCTGGAAGAGTTCCTGAGCTAACTGTGTCAGGGGAGAAACTTGGCGCTGTGAGAGAAGTCGTTCTTGTTTGCTTCCTGCCGTGTTCAGGAAAGCAGGACTTCACCTGTTCATTGTGAACAAAACCAAATCAAAGAACTGTCTGTGGAAGCTGTTTTCAGCAAAATCTCCTAGAGGCAGATAAAATCTGAAATATTTGACATTCTGAAATAAACATGACCCCTTTCTTACTCCTCTCTCCAGTATCTGTGAACGGGTGACCCCTCGGCTGTCTCACGCCAACTCGGCAGTGGTGCTGTCAGCGGTGAAGGTCTTGATGAAGTTCCTGGAGCTTCTTCCCAAGGACTCTGACTATTACAACATGCTGCTGAAGAAACTTGCCCCTCCCCTGGTGACCCTGCTGTCTGGAGAGCCCGAAGTTCAGTATGTTGCCCTGAGAAACATCAACTTGATTGTGCAGAAAAGGTAAAGCCTCGCGGGGGTGTTATTCCTGGGTTGTCAAGGGGGATCTGGTTATCTCAGACCTGGAGATATTTCCGCCTGTGCAGCACTGTTTAATCCAGGGTCTTATTCCCTGAGGGATGGGTGAAAGAGTCTCATGACACTGGTAGCCCAAATTAATTTTCTTTACAGCATACTTGTGATACCAGGATCGTACAGTATCTCTTTACCTGTTTCTCTCTGCACTGCCTTTTTAAGAGCAGTGAGGGCTGCCCTCTTATTAGACTGAAGTCAGATTGCAGACAGGAAGGAGGGTGTAAGGTACAGTTCATAGCGACCTGTAGAAACCAAACATGTCTGTGTGTTCTCGTCAAGCACAGAACCACCAGGCTGGTGACATACTGATGTACAGCACGTTGGATTTTTTCACCAGTTTACTCCCACGTGCATGTTTAAATACTGTTATTCCTTGCTGGAAAGGCAGGATAGGTTGGATAGCACTTTGCAATTGTATTCAGGGCCAAGTTACTCTACACTGGCATCTTGCAAGTGAAAGCAGAAAATGAGTCTGTAGGTGGGTTTTGCTTTGCGATGAGGATGTTTTTCTTTCATTGAAAGCGCTGATGCCCACTGACTCTCTGCAGTGGTTGGCTCAGCTGTTCAAATGGAGGAGGTACAGGTGTAGGCATACTTAGAGACTTGAATTCTACATTTTGTGTTCAAGCTCTTCCTGCAGCTTTCTAACTTGCTCCAAATTGTTGTTTTCATATGTTTGTCCCTTTGTGTCCAGGACGTGCATAGTTCTGTTTCTCAGTGAATGTTTGGTTAAATTTCTAAACAAAAGATACCTTTGGTTAGGATAGAACCTACTGTTTCTACCATTCTTGAGCAAAACAATTGTTATGTTCCCTCCAGGCCTGAAATCCTGAAGCAGGAAATTAAGGTATTCTTCGTGAAGTACAACGACCCCATCTATGTCAAACTGGAGAAACTGGACATCATGATCCGCCTAGCTTCTCAAGCAAACATCGCCCAGGTCAGCTGAGCGAGTTCTGATGTGCCCTGGGGATGGAAAACCCTCTCGTGAGGGTTTGCATGAGGGTGTCTGCAACGGCTGCTAGTGTTGTCCTGGCTTTTAGGCGTCACTGTCCCTGCTAGAGTGCTCTTCGCAACTACTTAATGGGAGGTGTTGGAGTTTCCTCCGTAATTTAGATGTTAATAGCATAGCATGGCATGTCTTGCATCCTGACATTAGGTAGATCTTGTTTTACAGATTACAGTTCCAGGGGGAGAGCTGATGTCTCCGGCTAGTGCTGAGGTCAGAATGACGCTTCTTTCACGTGAGAGGGATGTGCCTGTAACGGAGGCATTCAGAAAGGCCAGACATGACCCACGTGTGACTTCCAAGTGGCTTAAATTGTTTAACCCTTACACAGGCTACAATAACCTTTGCTTAACTTGCTTCCAGAGTGGAAATTGCACAAAGCTAAAGCTGAACTGAATTGAGACTACTTTAGAGTCTACATTCCCAATGGATCTGATGTACTTTGAATCCAAATTCCTTTTTTAAAGTGAGCATTCTCGAGTGCCATCCCAGCCACGAGGCCTAAGACAGAATGATTAATGCCTCTGGTTAGTGCTGTTGTGGTCCTATCCTAATTGTCATTTAATGTGACATTTTTTAAGGAGCTCTCTTCAGCTCTGTCCTCTGATGTTCTCTTGAAATGGAGTAACGTAATTCACGCTCCTTTTGTGCTGGGGACATGGAAAACATTTTAAAAACCAGTCTCCATGAGAATGTATTCAGAATTGTTATTTATTCTTGGTAGGCTACATACCAATTCTAATGCATAATGTTTAGATAATGCAGGTTGTTTGCATGAAGGGCACTGGTGTCTGGAGGGCACAATCTGGGATCTGCAGTCTAACGAATGCATCTCTCTGGTTCTAAAGAGGCATTCCCAAAAATAACCCTCACCCTGAAACGAGACCTAAGGAGAGGAGCAGGCTTCTACCCACATCCTCCCTGCATGGCTTGTTGAGACTCTTCACCCCTGTGCCCATTCTAGACCAAGGCAGCAGACCAGCTGAGTCCGAGGCACTCGGGCAGTGTTTGAAAAGTATAAGCTACTAAACCAGGGTGCTCTACATACTGCGCAACATAGATCATCCGAGGAAATAATAAAGCTTCAGAACACAGATGTCCTGTCTACTCCTTGCAGATTTATTTGTCTGCAGTCTGGCCCTTCAAGGCCTCTTTATCTTGTCTTTGTCCTGAGCAATTGGCATTGACTAGATTTTTCAAACCACTGTCTCGCTTTGTGCTGCTCACCTCTCCCTTGCAATCTATTTGTGACATCACAGTGAAATTCCTGATGTCATGTTTGACATGAGAAACTGAAACAAATGAGATTTTGAAGGAATATAAATTGCATAGGGTCTCTTTTTAAAATCATATTTCTAAGCCAAGTGATTTGTTTAAGATGATAAAGCAGCTTTTTAGTTAGTAGTCTTTAAGGTCCCAGCAGTTCCAGGTTTAAGGCCTTGTTCAGTTTCCATTAGCAAAAAAACTGAGACGAAACAGTAAATCTTGTTCTTAAGAGGGGGAAAATCTGTACACTATTATTAATCTCTGTACAGGTGTTCCAGGGTGTCCTCAGATCTCCTCTGCTTTCTCTCTTGGATCCAGTAGGGATCCAGAGCTTCCTCTCGGCACAGGAAAGGAGAGTTCAAAAATAGTGGTTGCTTAGAACTTTCTGTACTGTGAATGTAGAACGATAAGTACAATAAACGGTACACAAAAGCCTGTGTTGCATGGGTGTGACCCCTCCTTCACTGTACTTGCAGTCTAAGAAGGAATAGCAGCATTGAAGTTTGGCAGGGCTGATTTTGCTCCCCACTTTTGTTCAGGGGAATTTGAAAATAGCCTAGACCGAGCCATCTTTTGGCCTTGGCCAGCCTCGGCCAAGTCTTCTACCTAATCCCGGCCAGTGGGTTTCAGAGATGGAGACTGATGACAGAGCTAAACTGCTTTGCTGTTGAACGTGTGTGGCTACCTGTGGGAGAGAGATCCTGCTCGTGTTCTAGTACGCAGGTAGCATGGCTTGTTGGCAGGATGTTCTCTCTGTGTGACCTCAGGGACTCACGCTGGTGTGCCTTCTCTGCAGGTCCTGGCAGAGCTCAAGGAATACGCTACTGAGGTAGACGTCGACTTTGTGCGCAAGGCTGTCCGAGCAATTGGGCGCTGTGCCATCAAGGTTGAGGCAAGTATCTGGAACTTGGTGTTATGTGCGTGTCTTCAAAAATAATGATGGGCTTTGCCATCTCGTTCCCATGTTCTGCAGATTTTCTTTGCTCCTCTGTTGGCAATCAAGTGACCTGGGCACATCGTGGTCATGGATAAAGCGCTGCCTGAACAATAGTACTTGTGAGCTCCAGTTGAGTGCATCGCAGGAGCGTGGTGTGCTCCTCCCAGACCTCAGCCTGCAGGCAGAGCAAGTCATCCTCAATGAAATATTTTACTGTACTGGTTTCAGTGGAACAATGACCACTTCTCCATGAGGACCTCCTCTGATAGCTGGCCTGACCTTTTGAAGGGGGAAGGAGAACAGATTGTGCAGAGGAACTCAGTATTATGAAATGTTTTCTGTCTCCCCTGTTCCAGCCGATGGAATTGGAGATCTGCTTATCTTGTGTTAAAGGTCCATATAGCTTGTAGCTTCATTTGGAATGTACTCTCTTTAGCCTGGATGCTTATGCAAGTAAGTTCCCAAAAACCTCTGTAGTTATCCAAAACAGTGGTCCGAAATGTCCTCTGCTGGTTTAACATCCACCAAAATGCCAAATAAAATTTTTAGCGTTGTCCCTGTTAGTTTCCCTGTAAATGAATCTGGTATGCCTGACAGCAGCTCAGAAAGCCTGTGAAGAGAGACAGATGACTTGTGCTGTGGTGTTGGTACTTTTCAGTAAACTGATAACCGAATACAAAATGCCACATAAGTGGTCTAATTTCACCTGAGCTCATTTAGCATTTGTTAAAGTGTGTTCCCATGAGCATTGCCTGTCAGCAGATTTAAATAAAAACCTAATCATGCCTGGCTGAGTATAGTGTCAGTGCACAGGTTTCCCTTGTTCCAGATAAACTGTTCTAAGTCTGTGTAAAGAGGACACCAACTTCTGTCTTTTTGAGGGAATCGTCCCCCCATGTGGCCTTCTCTTCCTTCAGCTCTTAAAGGCTTATTGCTGCTGTGGCCTTTCTTTGAAGTGGGGCCCAATGGAGCAGGTGATCACTGCCTCTGATGTCTGCAGTTCAGAATACTGGAGTGCTCCTTCCATGTTGTGTGCCCGCAGGAGGCTGTCTGCATGGATCCACAGCAGTGACCCTACAAAATGCTCTTGAGCGTGAAAGAGGGCTTCAGAGAAGTAAAAAGCAGCTGCTGGCAGCCTGTTTTGTAGCGGTTCTCGTGCTGGGGAGTGGGAGCTTGCTTTAGGTCTCAGTTAAGAGCTTTCTGACTGGGGCTTGGCCGTGTGTCTGTCCTAGTTTCACGTGAAAGGTGGTGTAGTCCTTGCAGCATCAAGATTCTTTTGGAAGTTTTTTCCCTTTCCTGCCCTCACCCCCTACACTTTCTTCCCACCTCTGATACAATGACAGTCACATTCAATATGCAAAGGATTAATAATAATGTCCAAGCAAATTTCCAGTGACCCTGTGTATAATTGTATCTCTAGTTGGTGTTAACCTTGGTTTTTAGCAACTCTTGTGAAGACACTGCTGCAGATGAGGTCTGTTTGCTTCTCTGACAAGAGCCAGATTTCAAGAGAGCAAATATGGAACAACTCATTACAGTATCCTCATCTCTAGGTTAATCCCTGTCCCCAGTGCATCTGTGTTTACTAGAGACTGTTTGCACTCTGAGTTATGACTAATGGAAGAGCATTCTTACAGCCATCAGCATCCAAGTTCCCAAGGCTTAGAAATCTGCTTTTTGACATAGGGCACAGCCAGCGGGAGCTGGTGATGAATGAGTATTCACAGGGAACCTCAGCTCTGCCTCCAAGGATCCTGCCTTTTGTCTAATTGTCTCTCCTAGAAGAGTATGACAGTAAATTTGTCTGCTGTGATGTGCACCGTGGAGCAGGTGCGGCATTACCTTTGCTGCGCAGCACTGCGTGGCGCTACCAGCAGAGGTAGCGCTCGTTTTGGAAATGTAAGCAATACCCGTGCTGAACGGCAAGGTTGATGGATGTTGCGCAGGTTTTGCCGGTCGTATGGGTTTGGGGGATGTCGGAGCAACATCATTTTGCTTGGATAGCCTAGCTGAGCCCAGAGTTAGCTTGGGTATGTCTACAGCAAAGTGTGTGGTGTAGCTAGACGTGACAGCATGAGGTGAAGGTGTCTGGGTTGTACGGGTTTGCTCCATTGACAGCACTAGATGAAGTTGTCATCTGATGCTTTTGATTGTAAGGAAACCACGACACTGCCATGGGAAAAGGAGATGAAGGGGATGCGGTAAGAATAGCAGTTCCCCTGGAGCAAAGGGGAAGCAGAAGGAGCCATAGTGGAGGGGGATTTGTCTTAGTTCCAGGAGATTCTGCCAGCAGCCCAGTTCTTAGAAATCACTGAGGCTTATGGCTGTGAGCATGGTGTGTGCTACTTCAGTGATCCTGTGGGCTTTCATTTGGTTTCTGCAGAAAAACAAAGCAAGTTTGATATTGGTTGGTTGTCCTTCCTCACTCCCAGCTTGAGAGCTGTTCTGACTGGGGCACTGTTTCAGCAGTTTGCAGAGCAATGCAGTCCCCAGGGATATCCACCTTCAAATAGCAATGTGTTTGTAAGGAATGGGGTGAGCTGAGATGTATTTTGTTACAGGGAAATTTGGTTGGAGGGCTTGCCCAACTGTGCATGTGCCCATGTGACTGCTCACTTTCCAAGGGACTCTTGGGCTAAAAAAAATCAATACTGCATATTTCAAAGTGGATGTTGTGCTCTTCCTGGAAAAATCACGCTTCAAGGTGTCTAAAGAAGAGAAAAATAAACCATAATTTACTTTTTCCTTGAATTCTGGAGCTCTTAATGCTTTGCTAGTTGTAGGCTTTGACAAGGCTGGACTGCTTGTTGCACCAGTGGCTGATGCCATAGGCTCTGTATGGTAGGGTTGGCTTAGGATAGATTTACCCCAAGTTCCCCTAAGGCCACTTGTTAAAACATCTAGTGAAAGTTGTTGGGAAACTGGTAAGAGATTAAATTGCAGGCTCTGAAGCATGCAGCAAGGACTTTGAGTGGGGTTCCCGGTGTAAGCAATGTCAATCTTTGTGGAGCCAGGTCTGTGGTCAGTCTTCATGACATGCAAGTGTCTTCCAGGTTACGGGTCTCATCTCTTCTTGAACAGGAGTAGAGATCTGAGTAGGACATTCACATTGCCATTTCACTGCCTCCACGGTGGCATTGTACCTGTTGGGCTGTGCTAAGGAGGGAGGGATATCATAAAATACGATACCAATCCTATAACTTTATAGGATACCTGTCCTTACTCTGGTGCCAACTGTATTGGATTTTTATTCTGTTTGGTATGAATTTCAGGTGAGAGTCTTATGGCCTTAAGTGCCAGTTTGCAAAGACAGAGCAAATGCTGGTTTATATTGTCTCCTCTTGGCTGATCCCCATGCCAGCATTGTCACTGTTTGCAAGATACCACAGCTAGAGTCACGAGGGCAAGAAGTCACCAAGAGTCTCTGCTTGTCCCACATTCAGCTCTACAAATCTTGAAGTTTGTCCTTGAGATTTCTGCCCTGATCTTCCTGAATCAACCTGATTCTTGTGACTTAAATGCCATTACATTCCTCTTCCTCCTGCCCAGCCTTCAAGTGCTTTGAAAGAGAAGTGACTATTAGCTCACTTGAATTGAAAAATCCACCTACATTGCTGTTGTTTGTGCCCTGCCATGTTTGTCTTCATCCTGAGTGCTTTATGAATGTTGGGATGGTGACTGCCTCGGCAGTGTTGTGAGCAGTCTGCTGCTCACATTAATCACCTGCTGTGTAATGAGGCTTCACGTGTGCTCTGCTAATAGTTGAATTGCTGTCCTTATTTGAGATTCTCTGGTGCTGGGGTTGGTTGCTCCTGTGATGTCCTGCCTCGCTGTGCTGCTTGGGAATAGACCTCCCTCGAGTTCCGGTTTCTGGAGCTATGCCATTGACCAGTCCTTGTTATCTTGCAGTGCCTGTGGCTGGGAATGTTGAACTATTTAATGTGAAAGATGCATTGGCAACAGCTCGATTCCTATTTATAGCTGTGTCTTCACATATTGCTAGTGACCTCACCCCTAAAATACAGAGTCTCTTGCTGGTGTGGGCTGCTTTTTGCTTTTGTTCTTGCAGTGTGATTGACTGCATGGTTTTCTCCTGCCTTCTAGATTCCCCAGGCACCTTCCAGCAGTCCCTGTCAGAATTCTCCCAGCTCTGGTTGCCACAGCTTGGGCAAGTTCAAGACCGCCCATTCGGTGGCCTGTTTCACCTACCAGCCAGCAAGAGGGTGAAGAAGTAGTAGTGCAGGCAGTGTTCTGTCTCATGTGGGGATCCAGCTGTCTGCTGGCATGGTGGCCTCAGCCATTACTTTTTGCAGGAGCTGGAGTCAGCTGGTATCTCCACTGTAATGCCCAAGCAGTTGTCACCTTGTAGGTTTCTTCTGGACACACACATTGAATTGGGAGCTGTGGTTCTTTTCCCCCTCTGGGCCTTTTCTCGTATGCATGCCTCGTTCCTCAATGTGGGCTGGGAAGGAGTGTTTCTTTAACTTGTTTTGATTGTGTTGTTCTGTTCTTCTCTCCAGCAATCTGCGGAGCGCTGTGTGAGCACCCTGCTAGACCTCATCCAGACCAAGGTCAACTATGTGGTCCAGGAGGCCATTGTTGTCATCAGAGACATCTTCCGCAAGTACCCCAACAAGTACGTGTAATTAGCATAAGGTTTTTGGAAGCCCTGGTCTGCTAGCATGAGAAAACTTGCTCAGCATAGCTTCTCAGGGCTCTGAAGCAAAGGTGGCTGTTTTTTTCTGAAATGCAGTGTCCATCCTGATTCCAGCTCTTAGCATGGTATAGGATTCAGATGTTGGGTCTAGAGGAATTATCAGCCCGACACCTTATTAGTTCGAAGTGAAAGCTATTCCTTCCCCACTGCTCCATATTGGTGCTGAGTATAAGGCATAATCAAAAGCTAGTAAAGCTCGTACAGAGAATGCCAGAAGGAAAATTTGACCAAGTTTGCAGCATCAGGCCTATGGTTTTGCTAGTGTCCTCTAGAAAGCTTATATACAAGGCCATGGAAGCTCATGGCTCTCATGGTCTGAATTCTTAGTCAGATTGTGCTGAACAAAACACTGCTGGCTTTCTGCATCAGGCATTCTCTCTGGCTTGGGCAGTACTCAGCTTCTTTTAAGCTGTTTTTGTAATAAGGTTTTGTCTCTTCAGGTACAGAACAGCAGCAATGTCTTTCAGCAGAGACTTCATGATCACAGAAAAAGTAATATGGGACGTCTCCAGGCCTCTCTGGCAATTTCTGCTGTCAGTTACAAGATCGATTGCTGCTTACGACAGGGATACCCATGCATGGGAATAGGAGAAGCTAAATAATTAGTGTGGGGTATTGTCTGTTTTGCAGCAAAGCTTTTGGGGAGTGTAATAACCAGTTTAGAGTTACTAGCCTGAACACACCAGAGAGGCTGCAGTATCTGATACAGGCTCGTGGCTTGAACTGTTGGATCAAATGTTCCCTTCAGCAAAACAGATAGGAAGGAATTCCCTCCCTTGAATTCCACTTCTGGGTGGTCTTGCTGATTAATTGAAACTGCTTGGGGACCCTATGAGATCTTAGTGTTCGGAAAAAGAAAAAAGCCTAGGAATATCTTCTGTAGTTGAGTGAAAATGCTGCTTGTTGTGTAGAAATAAGACATTGTAATTCAGTGCAGGATTCTCTGCAGAATGATGTGGGCAGAGATGGAGTAACACAAGTTGAAGTCACCCCAGTAATCCACCTCTACTCTGACAAATCAGGTATGAAAGCATCATTGCCACTCTGTGTGAGAACCTGGATTCCCTGGATGAACCAGATGCCAGAGCTGCCATGATCTGGATAGTGGGCGAATATGCAGAAAGAATTGACAATGCAGATGAGCTGTTGGAGAGTTTTTTGGAGGGCTTCCATGATGAAAGTACTCAGGTAAAACTGTGTTGTGCATCTTACCTGTAGTGTTTCATACAGTGTATGTATGGGATGGATGGTAAATATTACTGCAGTGGTCAGAAAATAACTCCAAATAAAAGAATTCTATATTTGGCTAAAATAAAAAAAATGAGAGCCTGTAGACTTTGTGTTGTATCTCCCAAAAGTCTCTTCTTGGAATGATAAGACAGAACAAGAGAGGTTTCTAGACACTGAATACTTCTTGGGGAACAGCCCAACTAGGGACCAGAATGTAGAGAAGAATAGTGATGAGATGCATAGAAGTATGACATAAATCTCAGTGTGCTGATCAGGGACTTGTCTGCAGAAGTGTTTTGTAACAGCAAGAGTCTGAGTCTCATTGTACTGTGTTTCACTTCCAAAGAATAGTGTAATGCTGTTATAAATTGTAGGACTTGAGTTTCATACCAGTAAAGGATATTGAGACTTGAGAGACGTTGCTAAAGCATGGATGAATTTTCTAATCTCTTCTGTGTTCCTTTCTTAGGTGCAGCTCACCCTGCTGACTGCTATAGTGAAGCTCTTCTTAAAAAAGCCTTCTGAGACCCAGGAGCTGGTTCAGCGGGTCCTCAGCCTGGCCACGCAGGTAAGCCAGGATACCAGTGAGCCAGAGCCCTCCCAGACACTGTGTTGGCCTGCCATGTGGGATCTCCCATGTGTCACGCCAATCAGCTGTGCAGTTGATAGGATTCAAGCATGTTCCCCTCTCTCCCAAAGAGGGGGAATTTGACTCCATTTGAGAGCAGCTCTGTGGCTGTTACCATGCCATCTGGCATCTGCTCTCTCGTTTTTAGCTCTTGCTTCATCCTAATTTCTTCCCCATTTCCCCACCAACTGACAAGTTAGGGACAGGATAGAGTTATGAAGAAACCAAAATGGATTCTCCTTGAAGGTGGCTTGTAGTTAAAACATCTGGAGCTATGACAGAAGGAAGGGGCCTGGCAAAGACTTCGTTCTGTGAACAGCAGAGCGTAAGCAGTGCTATGAAAAAGAAAAAACTGTGGTTTGAGTATTTTTCCTTTGTACTTGGATGCTGTCAACCAGTGTGGCAGCTTTGCTGGAGGCTGTAACAGTGGGTTAGGATCCCAGATTCATTATGCATGAGGTGCTGAGTTATGAGCTGAGATCACTGCAGGCGGGGCTGGGCTTGAGCTGGCAGACAGAAGTGCTGTAGTTCTGGAGGACAGCAGTGGATGTCCTGGTAGTAGGAGTCTGTAAGTACTCAGCCGATCCTCCTACACGTCTGGGTGGTAATGACTGGGGCAAATGTGCGATGGTGTAGTCCAAAAAGTGCAGCTCCTCTCCAGACCTTCTGTGTCAAATGATGAAAATAGTCTCTCAGCGGTTGGGAACGGGCTGTGGTGGTTTCTGAGCAGAAAACTAAGAGTCAGTCATCAGCTGGCCTTTTTGGTCCTCATTGCTGCAAGGAATCATGGTTGTGGACTTAGAACTTCTAATCAGCCCTTTGGGGGTGTCGCCTTGGTCAGGGGCAAGAAATCTGTCGCTTGCTTTTCTGGCTTCAAAACCTGCTATTAGGCTGGCGCTCGGCTCCTCTGTAGAGAGGAGTGGGCCAAGGGCATGCTGTATCATTTGTCTCTGCCAACAGAAGAAAGGCACTAAGTGTTAAAACCCACTATGCTGACTCACAAAACACTTAATGGCATCCTAGGAATATAATAGGCGTCTGTTTTTTCTGTTTGTCACAAATGTTGATTCAGTCTGGCTTTCTTGTATTTTATATGAATAATAAGTCAATGTAGGATAACTGGCTGTAAAACACTAAAAAGCCTTACGCTTCAAGGTCTGATTTCTAGGTAGAGATACGGTTTTTCAGTTGAGTGGGAGAGTAATTACACCTGTGTTTCTTTCCCCAGCTTAGGTATTGTTGCACTTGGAGTGTCTCTTAGGGTATGTCTGCACAGCAAACTGCAGGTGTGATTGTAGCACGAGCCAGCTTCATCCAGCCAACACTGGTAAAAATAGCAGTGGAGCAGCTGGGGCTGGGAGCGACACAGATGTGCAGCAGCGCTCAAGGGCCCTGGCAAGCCTGTAACCTAATGGTTGGCACATTAGGCATGTAGAGAACCTCCACATCTCTGTTGCTGTGGTCTGTCTGGCACAGCGGGTAGCTAAGCTAGCATGGGTTCATTGCTACACACCACAGGTGTATATGCGGACCACGGAGAGCTGAGAAATGTGAAAGGGAAGATCTGAGCTTCTTGTTCCAGTAGATTTACTCAAGTTTCAAGTTGTTTATTTGACTGGGAGAAGAAACAGTCAGTCGTGAATCTGTATGTGCCTGCAAGTAGATAGGAGCATGTGATCTTTTTGTCTGCCCTTGCAGAAGCCTTGCCTGATCTTGAACTGCCTGCTGCAGGCAGGTTGTGGGGACTTTTGTAGGAATTTTTAAGGGTGGAGGGTATAGAGTCCATGACTCCACCATCAAACTGAAAAACAGCACTGCAGAGAAATCTATCAGTTGACCCAGACACTGTATCTAGGTCCTTACGAGCCAAATGAGCTTAGCATGCTCAGCCTCGGTACAAACAGAGGTTTTGCTGTGTTCCTGAAATTGTCTCAAGACAGAGGGCAGAGAGACATGTTATAGCAGGTCAGCAGCACTGTGAATGGAATCACAGAAGAGCAAAAACATGCCAAGGAGGAAGGCTAATGAGGTGTACAATATATTGCTGGGATTTTACGGGGTGGGAGGGGAGACCCAAGTCAGAAGCATTTACCCTGTTATTCTGCTGATGCGGGGATTAAAAATCCCAGCTCTTGTTTCCATGCACAGTTCAGACATGTGGCACTACAACATAAAACCCCACACCACCTCCCTCTCCCTAGAACATTAGCTGCAAACTGTCACCACTCACATTGCTGCTCTGGGCAGAGCTGTTTGAAAAGGAGAGAAATAATTAGCACTTCATGCAGAGGCTTAAGTATCTGCAGTAAAACAAAGGAATTATTGACAGCTGGAGAACTGATTAAGTATCCTAACTGTGTGTCATTAGCATTTTTCCATACTTTGTTAGATAACTAAAAGACAGGATAAATGAGATCTCTTGGTACGAAGAATATGGCTAATTAAGATCCTGTAGCTCTGCAGGGTCTTTTTGTCCAGCAGTGCCCTTGGATAAGTCATATATTTCCAGGAATCTTGGATCATTCTGTTCCAATGTGCAGTATTGCTATGTTTTCTCGACTCATGTTCCTTTCTCCTGTCTACACCCCCTTGGAATTCTGATACTTACTGTTACGTTAAGTGGCGGGAGAGTTTGGAAGGCAGTTGATAGCTCTGTGGGTTGAGGCAATCGTGGGATGTAAATTCTGGGCCTTTTACTCCCTGACCAGCTGAGCTCGGCATT